GGCACCCCATGAAGCAGGCTATTAATAAACACATTGAACTCGACCCCGTATACATTCCACTACGGAGGAAACCCGGAAGTGAGGCAATCCATCGCAACGGACCCCAGAGTTTAAAAGCCAGGTGGGAAAACACACCGACGCTTCATCAGAGGCTGCACTGAGGATGTTACCAAGCACGGTAACAAAACGTCTGCGGAACAACAAACCAGCTCGGTGAGCCAATCAACCAACCTCAACATCCACAACCCGAGCTACAAATCTACTCCAAAACCTTAGAGGTTAGTGACTGTTCTGAGTCCCGTTCTGAAGAAGGGTCTCTGACCCGAACTACTAACTCTGCTTTTTCTCCACAGATGCTGCTAGACCTGAATGTTTCCAGCAATTTCTGTTTTTGTTTCCTCAATGGTATTTGGCAGACGATTCTCATCCAGCGACAAAGAAATAGTGATAAATGTTTGGGTTAGGATGGAGGGGAACTTGGAGGTGATAGTGCTTCTGCAATACTTCTGTTGATGTGAGAGCTCATGGGGATTGGAATGGTGTTGAAGTTAGTTTGGTGAGTTGTTGCAGTGCAGACTGTAGATTGTATGCATTATGCTAGGCAAGCATTGAGAATCCAGTTCACTCAACTCTTACAGATGGGGGAGCAACCTTGAAGGAGTCGAAAGGAGTTGCAAGGTATCGTGAGTTCATATATCTGATCCTCTAGCCTCTAGCCTCTGACAGACTCAACATGTTGGATTGGGTGTGTGGATTCATTAGTGATGAGACCATTGAAAGTCAAAGGGATATAGCTAGGTTTTCACCTGTTGAAGGTGATCATTATGTGACATTTCTGTTACACAAATGTGACCTGCACTTTTCTGCCCGTGTCTAAATGTTATCCAGGTCATGCTGCAGGCCATAGCCGACTTTGTCATTATCAGAAAAGTTGTGTATGTAGTGAGAAGTAAATTAATTAAGACATTTAAGATGGACTGAAGATCCTTATTCTGACAGTAATATTCTGAGGCCATGATCGGCCTCTGACCACCATGATTATCTTCCTTCAACCATTGCAGTGTGTTTTGGACACCAGTTTATTTTTGTGAAATCATTTTTGGTTAAACAGTGCCTTAATGTTGAAAAAAGTTACTCATCCTCTGGCATAATATTTTTTATATTAACTTGTAGAAAACTGGTCTGCCTTTGTAAAACTTCACTAAAGTGTAAATTTGACTGAACTCTGTTATATATTTTTGTAGGATCTTTTGTCTGTTTCCATCCAACCCATGTTTCAACTGCATAGTATGAATGTAGCTTTAATAAATTGCTCTTAAAGACCTGAATCTGCAAACAAGACAAATGTAGAAACGTTTCAGGGTACCATCTCCAGGTGACACAGTGGGCTGTCTTGAATATATGTCACTTCTTTCTCACTGTGCCAATACATTGGAACACCGTATCCCATCATGGGTGCATCATCCCACAGTGACTGCAGCAATTCAAGGCTACGCACCACCTTCTCATTATGGACTGTGTATACAATCAACCCTGATGGTTACATCTAGCGAACATATTTTTTTTAAAAAAGAATGGTTTATGTCATTCATGTGTGACTCTTTGACAGCATTTGATAAATATTTTAAAAACACATTAAATGGTTATAGTTAAGTTTCTGTGCTTTATGGATTAGCCTTCAGAAAGGAAACACTTCTGTTTTGGATGTTTAGTATCTGAGAAGGAACAAAACTCCCAGGACACGTACAGAATGTAGTTAGATATGGAGTAAATTTCCCTCCGCACTGTCCTCATCTCTCACTTTCAGGGCAGGTACAGGCATGAGGTTAGGTACAGATCGAAGGCCCTTCTGTTCTTCCTCTGCCAAATTAGGGATATTATAGGTAATTTAAATTCAGAACAGTGGAGGATTTCTTCAGAATGGAGGACACTAATAACATGCCAATAATTGACAAAGAGACGAAGGAGGACCTGGAAACAATCATCATTACGGAAGAGGTAGTGTTGGGTAAGCTAATGGAGCTAAGGATTGATAAGTCTCCTGGCCCTGATGGAATGCATCCCAGGGTACTAAAAGAGATGGCGGGAGAAATAGCAGGTGCACTGGCGGTAATTTTCCAAAATTCGCTGGACTCGGGGGCAGTCCCAGCAGATTAGAAAACAGCAAATGTGACGCCACTGTTTAAAAAGGGAAGTAGACAAAAGTTGGGGAATTATAGACCGGTTAGCTTAACCTCTGTAGTGCGGAAGATGCTTGAGTCTATTATCAAGGAAGAAATAGCAAGGCATCTTGATTGAAATTGTCCCGTTGGGCAGACGCAGCATGGGTTCATGAAGGGCAGGTCATGCTTGACAAATCTTTTGGAATTCTATGAAGACATTATGAGCAAGGTGGACAATGGGGACCCAGTGCATATGGTGTACCTAGATTTCCAAAATGCCTTCGACAAGGTGCCGCACAAGAGGCTACTGCATAAGATAAGGATGCATGGCGTTAAGGGTAAAGTATTAGCATGGATAGAGGATTGGTTGACTAACAGGAAGCAAAGAGTGGGGATAAATGAGTGCTATTCTAGCTGGCAGTCAGGGATCGGTGTTGGGACCGCAATTATTTACAATTTATATAGATGATTTGGAGTTGGGGACCACGTGTAGGCTGTCAAAGTTTGCAGATGACACTAAGATGAGTGGCAGAGCAAAGTGGCAGAGGACTGTGAAACTTTGCAGAGGAACATAGATACATTGAGTGAGTGGGCAAAGGTCTGGCAGATGGAATACAATTTAAATAAATGTGAAGTCATGCATTTTGGTAGGAGTAATAGTAACAAGGATTATTACTTGAATGGTAAAAAGTTGCAGCATGCTGCTATGCAGAGGGACCTGGGTGTCCTTGTGCATGAATCACAGAAGGTAGGTCTGCAGGTACAACAAGTAATTAGGAAGGCAAATGGAATTTTGTCCTTCATTGCTAAAGGGATTGAGATTAAAAGCAGAGAGGTTATGTTGCAGCTGTACAAAGTGCTGGTGAGGCCACACCTGGAGTACTGTGTGCAGTTTTGGTCTCCTTACTTGAGAAAGGATGTACTGGCGCTGGAGGAGGTGCAAAGGAGGTTCACTAGGTTGATTCTGGACTTGAGGGGGTTGGCTTATGAGGAGAGACTGAGTAGATTGGGATTACATTCATTGGAATTCAGAAGATTGAGGGGGGATCTTATAGAAAATTATAAAGGGAATAGATAAGATAGAAGTAGAGAGGATGTTTCCACTGGCAGGTGAAGCTAGGACAAGTGGGCATAGCCTCAAGATTAGAGAGAGCAGATTTAGGACTGAATTGAGAAGGAACTTCTTCACCCAGAGGGTTGTTAATCTATGGAATTCCTTGCCCAGTGAAGTAGTTGACGCTACTTCAGTAAATGTTTTTAAAGATAAGGTAGATTTTTTTTGAACAATAAAGTAATTAAGGGATACGGTGAGAACGCGGGTAAGTGGATCTGAGTCCATGAAAAGATCAGCCATGATCTTATTGAATGGCAGAGCAGGCTTGAAGGGCCGGACAGCCTACTTCTGCTCCTAGTTCTTATGTTCTAACAGGCTGAGTATCACAGTTTCTATTGGCTGTGCAGCACAATGATCAGTGAAGCTTCTGGAGTATTTATTATGGCAGCAATCTGTTCATTGGAAAGGTTTGCACAGTTTATTGATGTCTCCATATTTACAGTTGCCCTTCTTTGGGACAGAGCCCTCCATTTTGATTCCAGAGCAAATTAATCTTTTCTGAATAGCTATCTTAAAAGCATGAGTGATGGAATTACCAGTAATGAAGCAGACTTTTGTGTGGCTATAGCTGATGAATACAGGGATTTTTCTTTGCAGGTCATTGGTTTCCTTAGAATGTTACATGCAATATTGTATTTGGTTTACATATTTATCATATTGTTACTTTTTGATGCTCACAGTCAGAAAGTGGAGGCGGAAGAGTCAATTGGGATCCCAGGGACAATGGCAGGTTGAGGTTGGGGAAATATCATCTGGAACATTCGGAAGCTTGGAGCAGCAGCTGATACAGGAGAATAGCAGCAATGTAAGTGGATTTAATTCTCTGAATTAGGTATGTGAACTTCAATGATGGAAGAGTGTACATTCCTTCTTGTATTTAAAATATGCTATTTACCTGTCTCCCAACATGATAAATATATTGTCGTGAAGTCCACCGATATGTTTACATTTTATGTATGATTTTTATATTTTGTTGCAGCCTATTTTCACAAGGAAAGACACCAAGACAAGCTTCCAGTGGAGAATCCGAAATCTGCCGTACCCCAGAAAAGTCTACAGTGCCACAATTGACCCAGAGCAGAGATGTTGCATTGTGAGAACATCAAACAAAAAGTAATTCTGTTTCTCCGTTCTGATTTAAAAGTTCTATGCTAGGGCTATTTCTCTTTCTTGAGAAACCTGTGTACCAGTTGTGAGATTACATTATTTTTATTTTGATTTTCCAACTTTTGGTTTTTTTCTCCTTGTTTTTCACATAAAGGATTTCTTTTGTCAGTTCCTCTCCTTTCATCAAGCCTTTGTTCGGCAATGCTAATCCTGATAGAGTATGAGTTCCATGACTGCAGTCTGTTTTCCATGACCTCATCCATAGCCCATTCTTCATGAGTGAATCCATGGAATTGCTTTTGGACTCCAAAGCTGCTTTGTACTGATGGAGTGCCAGAGGGAGCAATATAGCCACATGAAGCAAGAGAAATTTTTCATTTATTTTTGATTGAGGAGAGACTGAGCTTATATTTGGTGGAGTTTGTAAGAATAGAGGTGATCTTATTAAAATGTATGAGACTCTGAGGAAGTTTAGATGCTGAGAAGATGTTTCATGTGGAAATCTGAAAGCAGGCTCAGTTCCAAAATAACTGGCCTCCCATTTAAGACCAGGGCAGGTGGGATCCCAGGGACAATGCAGGTTGAGGTTGGGGAAACATTATCTGGAAAACTCGGAAGCTTGGAGCAGCAGCTGATACAGGAGAATAGCAGCAATGTAAGTGGATTTAAACAACGAGCATAAATGATGTGCTCAAATTCTCTGAATTAGGTATGTTAACCTCAATGATATTCTGGTCAAGGTAGGCCTACGCCACAGGACCCTTATAATCAGGTTTCAATTCCAGGTTTGTTAATAAATTGAATTTAAATTCCACTAGTTGCCATTGTAGGATTTTAAACTATTCCCAGAATGTTAGCTTGAACACACCGGTGAGGATGTCACAATGCCATCATTTCCCAATAATCCCCTACTTAATCCTTGTATCTTTCAACAACTCCCTTAATATTGATTCCTTTGGCACCCTTTTTAAAAAATACTTTTGTGAAATAATTTGTTTGTGGGGTCATGACTTACTCCAGAGTGCTGAATACAAGTGAGTATGAATCTTCCGTGCAGTTGTGGAAGGGTCTGCTGTCAAACCAAGACTGTATCTGCTCCTGATTAGATTTCAAAATTTCCAGTGCTCTATTTGAAGAGTTTCCAGGAGTTACACCAGCGTCCTGTCGAATATTTATCATCAGAAAGATTTTATGCGTATTATCTTATTAATGCTCGAGAACTTGCTATGTATAAATTGGTTGCTAAATTTCTTATTAGTGACTACACTTCAAGAATCGTTCATTGACTTTGAGGTACTTTGGGGACATCCTAAGCACATGAAAAGTGTAAATTACACAAATTTTTGTATTTATTTGTATGGCTAAAGCTTTTGTTAAGAAAAAAGTGTAGCACTGAAACTGACCTGAGTTTCCTCTTGCTCTGCCCAGGTATTACAAGAGGTTTAACATTCCAGACATGGATCGGTGTGGATTGCCCTTGGATAGTTCAGCTCTTAGTTTCACACATGCCAACAATACCCTCATCATCACAGTAAGTCCATTCAAAGGTTGGGCAGTTAGGATTTCTATTTCGTATGCTCTTGAGATTAGAGCACCACTTACAAGGTCAGCTGTCCTTGAAGGTGGTGGTGAGCACCTTTCTTGAACTTCTGCAGTCCTTGGAATGTAGTTATACCCATAGTGCTGTTAGGGAGTTTCAGGAATGACCAAGCAACAGTGAAGGAACAGCAATATATTTGAAAGTCAGGATGGTGCATGGCTTGGAGAGGACCGTGAAGTGGCTTTGAAGAAACCATGGCGATTTGATGCAGTTGATAGTTAAGTAAGGGAAACATTTTCCTCCCCAGAAGAGACGTGGGTTTTTTAAATCCTTTATTCATTCTTGGGATGAGGGCATCGCTGACTAGGCAGCATTTATTGCCCATCCTTAATTGCCCAGAAGGCAGTTAAGAATCAGCCACATTGCTCTGGGTCTGGAGTCACGTGTAGGACAAACGAGGTAAGGATGGCAGTTTCCTTCCCTAAAGGACATTAGTGAACCAGATGGGTTTTTACAACAATTGACAATGGATTCATGGTCATTATTAGATTGTGAATTTTATATTTTTTTTTATTGAAATGAAATTCCATCTGCCATGGCAGGATTTTAACCTGGGTCACCAGAACATTAGCTGAGTCTCTGGATTAACAGTCCAGTGATGATAACACCATCGCATCCCCTGTTAAGAATGCCAAGAATGATAAAGCTGTAGATGGCTTTGGCTGCGCTTAAGATTGAGGGCAGAGAAACTGCAGCAGGCACTTGGTTGACATATTAGATTTTAAAATACTTTATACGCATTAACTGAAATTTCTATTCACCCCTCAGTACCAAAAGCCAAGAGAAATCTTGCAGCAGGAACAGGAAGTTCTGCAGGAGCTGAAGAAGGTGAAGGTGGCTGAAGATGGAGATGTCGAATGTAAAACGCAGTGAACCTGAACACCGTCTAAAATACTCTAAATCAATGCTGCAAAGCTGAAATACTACTTTAGGAGATGCTAGTGATGGCAAAAGGTGTCTGTCTCACGGATTTGAACGCCATTGTGGCATTTATGCTGCTATATGTGAAGCCCTGTGGCCCAAATTTTGGTATACTGGATGACGTATTGTCATGAGTGGGGTTGAAATTAAGTCACAAACTAAATGGGAAAAGCAGAATGTTACTGGTTTTTGAGAGGTGTAAAGTTCAGTCCTGAAATATACAGTTGATATTTAATCTGCAATGTGTCATCTCTTAACCTTCAGAATAATCCTCTAACAGAGGAACTCTCTCTTCTCCTGATTTCTCTCTTCTGGGAGCCCCCGGTTGCCTAACTGTGGAAGAGGGATGTAGAGTAAGCAGAGAACAGTGAACACTGCCCTCTGAATTTTCCTCCAAACATTTAATGTCTTGGCTCCTTTAACTGAACAATTATTCACTTTTCCCCTAAATTACAGAATATGAGAGTGTGAGGCGCGGGCGGGCAGAGAATTGCTGGGCCTGACTGTCTGAGAGGGCTTGGTTGGCACACTATCGATGCTTCTAGAACACAGGGAAGAAAATAAGACATTAACCCTCCTGTTAATGATCAAGTCGCATAATTCCTCTAATTCCAGTACATCTAGTAACTAAAGGATTTAATTTTATACATTGGAGGTTCACCCTGTGATGATGCAGTTAGGTCAGTTTTTGATTTTTGCCTTTGCCTTTGCACATTTATGTAAATGGTTGTAGATGTTTCTTCTAAGAACAATAGGATCTAGGAGTAGAAATTAGCCATTCGGCCCATCAGATCTGCTCCAACATTTGATCATGGCTGATATGTTTCTCAACACTATTCTCCTGCCTTCTCCCTGTAACCCTTGATCCGCCTCATCCTAACCTCCATTGAGTACAGAGCCAGAGTCCTCATATGAAAAGCCCTTCATGCCTAGGATCATCCAACAAACCTCCTCTGGACCCTCTCCAAGCCTGGCACATTCTTCCTTAAGTTCTGGCATTCAAAATTGCTCACAATATCCTAAATGTTTTTTTTACAGCCTCAGTACATCCTTGCTCTTGTATTCTTTCCCTCGAAATGAATGCCTACATTGTATTTCCCTTCCTTAACTACTAGCTGAACCTGCATGCTAACCTTAAGAGAATCCTGAATTAGAACACCTAAGTCCCTTTGTGCTTCAGATTTCTGAAATCTTTCCCTGTTTAGAAAATAGTCTATGCATCTATTTTTCCTACCAAAGTTCATAATCTCACTTTCTTAGTTGAAGGATCACCCAGTTTGACAAGACTGGGACAGCTATGTCACCAGTCTGTGAGGTTATAACTGATCTTAGCCCCAACTCCCGTTGACAACACAATATAGGATAAAATGTAGGATTTAAAGTGACACACACACATTACTGCTTTCTCTATTAAAATCTTCTTTAAAAGTCACATTTTTGCTCAAACTGAAAATGCTGTGCACAAGAAGGTAAGGTTTTCCTCTGGTCCTATCACTTCACAGAAAATCAAACCTGTCTTTCCAAACAGCATCCAGCAGTTCAAGGTCTGACCCTCAAATCACCCTAGCAATTAATTCCAGCTGTTTATTAACAACAACACTTAAGTTCTAGGCTTGCTTTTTGTAAGCCAGATCCTTTGCCCTCATCCTACTGTTTCTAAAGTATTGTTCTGCATTTCAACCTGGGATATGGTTTTGAATCAAGATTTCACTAATTTCCATTTTGTTGCCTGGTGCACAAGTCTGAAATAAGTGTCCAGAATTAGTGTGAGCTGCCTACATCTGCGAGTGAGTCCTTGGCAATAGCTGTGGTCCTCTGCCATTGACTCCAGAAAGCGCAAATAATTCAGTAATAGGAAGAGCCACTGATGTAAATGGTTTAAAGGCTGAACTGAATAATTAACCATTGATGGCAGCTGTGTAGAGAGAGCTTTACTTTTAGTTCAAAAGATTATAGGGAGCTTTACTCTTTATCTAACCCATTGCTACATCTGACCAAGGAGTGTTTAATGGGAGAGCATTGCTCTGTGGTGGGGTACAGGCATTTACAGGCATTTCATTCAGGAAGCTGCTATTATTATTTGAAGGGGCACGGGACCCAAAACGTTAACTCTGACATTTTCTTCACAGATGCTGAGCTTTTCCAGCAACTTCTGTTCTTGAAGCTATTATTTAACTTAAGTCTTTCAGGGGTAATTAGGAATGAGCGATAAATGCTGGCCTGACACCCACATGCTGAACCATGAATATTTTTAAAAAAAGCCCAAGTCTTGTTCACAAGGAGCTAATAGACAAAAAGATAGGAGCAGGAATCCAGGTGGATTCTTCTTCCCATCTTCTATGAAGGACACAATGGTGACTCTCTGAGCTTTGAACAAAGTGGTGAGGCAATGGCCTTATCTGTCTGCTTAGAAACTTCTCCAGCCAGTGTCTTAACAGTGGAAATTTCTTGAAGGCTAATGGTCCAATGTTCCTCCCTGAAATGCCAGTGGTTAAAAACTAGTATTAATGACGATCTTTCAGTTGGTGTTTGCGGGATCTTGCTGTTCAGAAATTGGCAATGTTTGCCTTCATATCTGAAGCATTGGATCATTGAGAGACAAGATTAGTATCCAGTTGAACAAGGACTTTTGCTTTCAACCATCACAACATCACTACAACTACTTCAGGCAAGGTTAATAATGGGAATCAGTTGAGTTATTACACATTAACAGATAAGTCGTAAAATTTATTGCAAATAAAGGAATCTTCCTCTATTTAAAAACAAAAATGCGATTCTTTAAGGGATTGTGGCATTGGATGTGAATGAGTAGTTCCTGTCTCGACGTAGCAACTGACAACGTGCTGACTTCTGATGTGCAGTATTGGGATCCCCACTTCAGGTATTCTCATCCATTTATTTCCCGTGCTGTTGGTCACAGATTGTAAAATCCAACATGTAAAGCGCATGGGCCAAGACACTGTAGAGATGTGAGGTAGTAAATCGGAGGCAGTAAACAGGGCTGCTGCTGCTGGGGGAGGAGAGGAAAAAAACCTGGAGGAAAAGGAAACAAAGCATTGATTAGTTCCACAACCTGCGCTTTGCTGTTATTTGCACAAGAAATGCTGCAGTACATTAAGGTTAACGGACTGTTCAGGACAATCTCCTGCTTCAACCTTTATGTCTGCTGCCCTCTGCTGGAATACCAGAATCTCAGTAACTTCTCTCAATCTCTTATTTTTCACTGGAGACTGGACACTGATCAACTGCAGTGAGTGTCTGATTAACAGTGGCTATATTTTGTATGAAGAGCAAATTTGGGATAGGTGTTGATGTAATAGAAATATTTTCCTACTATCTCTGATACATTAGCTTCATTGGCTTATTTGTAGGGCTCAACCATAAAGAAAGACTGGGCAGACTGAGCTAGGAAAGGTGACCTGTAAAGAGGTTCGATGGTAGACATGAAAACATTTCTACATGCAAGGAAGTCCAAAACTAGGGGCCATAAACATCAGGTTTTTTTTTTCTTTTTTTTTCCATGGGATGTGAGTGTCACTGGTATTATTGCTCATCTTTCTAAATGTACTTGACTGGATGGCTTGCTAGGCTATTCCAGAAAATAGCTAAAAGTCTACTACTTTGCTGTAGTCACATTTTGGCCAGATTAGGTAAAAGCAAATTTCCTCCCCTAAAAGATATTACAGAACCAGATAAGTGTTTATGATAATCAATATTAGTTCCATTGTCACCATTCTTCAAACTAACTTTCAATTTCACATCTTTATTAAGTTTCCACCTCCTAGTGTAGTAGAATTTAAATTTGTATCCCCAGAGCATGCCACCATTTCCTGAACATCATGAAATAATCTAATTGGAGTTTCAAATAAAGCTTCTTTACTCAGAGAGTCATACAATGTGCACCTCACCTCTAAAGGGAGGAAACTGAACCCATGCTGTTGGTGTCACTCTGCATTGCAAATAAGTCACCTAGCCAATTCAGCTAACCGATCCAACATCTGAGGATACCATGAAGGACCCTCTTCCTCAATCGAGACATGGTGGCCCTCAAGTTAAATCATCACCAGTCATCTCTCTCTTAAGAGAGAGCAGCCTATGAAATGGTAGAACTATGGTGAATTTACCAGGAGTAATTGAAGTGAGTGGATAGGTGTAGTTAGGAGTAGGTAGATAAACATCAGTGAGAAAGAAATGGAGGTTCGGTTGATAAAATGAGGTGTAGTGGGGCGGGAGGAGGTTTGTGTGGAGTATAAGCACCGTCATGGACCTACTGGGCTGAATGGCCTGATGTCATTTGATAACCTCATGGTTTGATATGACATAACCATTAGAGAGGCTGGAAAGACATCACCTATTAGCTATAAATGGAAGCTGTGTTGTTGGGCCAGTTTCCTGCGCCTGATTAGAGGAAATTGTGGATAATGGAGGGATCAGGATCAGGAGCATCATTCTGCGAAAGTCATGAAGCTTGGCGGTATTTTCTGATCAGATTCGTGCATGAAGAATGTGCACATCTACACAGTAACCAAACATATTACAGACAAAGATGCATTTTTTTGAAGTATTGTCACTGTTGTAATTTAGCAACACTGAAGACAATTTACACACGCAAGTTCCTCTAATAGCAATAAGGTATTAACCATACAATTTGTTTCTGTGATGGTGATTGAGGTGTAAACATTGGTCCAGGTATGGCCCTCCACACTACTGTACAAAATAGTGCCATGGGGATCTTTTACACCTACATGAGAAGGCAGGTGGGGCCTTGGTTTACACTTAATTTGAAAGATAACAGCAAAATTGTGCAGTGCTTTATCAGTGCATCACAGAGTGCTAAGTGGATTATGTGCTAAAGGCTCTAGAGTGAGACTTGAACGCACGATCCCATTAACGGAAGTAAGAGAGTGTTATCCCGTTCAGTTACAGCTGGCTCTGACAAAATGGCATTTGGGATGAAGCACCAATGGATGGTCAGTACTCTTAGAAAAGATGGTGATACAGTGCTGGAAAGCCAGAGAACATTAACATTCTTAGCATAAGCTGGACCAACCTTACCTGTAGACTCTTTGTCTGCCTCTTGTCCCAGAGACGCACAACACCATAGCGGGACGAGCCACTGGCAATCATGAAGTTTCCATCTGTCTGCAAGCAGTACAGTGCACTGTCATGAGGTTCTTCCCATTCCATCACACTGCGTCTGCAACAGAAGAGACAGATTAGAATAGTGATTGCATG